ATTGGAAGGTTTTTCTCTGGAAAAAAAATACTTTAGGTATTCTACCCTTTACCCCCATCTTTAATGAAAAGGCTAACTTATCTCACAGTTAACTTGGTAATACTTTTCTGTATGAATAGACAGCAAAGGATTGCCAGACATTTGAAAAAAACCTTTACCATAAGAGAGGCCAAAACAACGGAATTTAAAAGGAATGTAGAAGAAACAGACAATGGGGGAGAAGACAAAAAAAAAACAACAACAACCCAACTTATACACACACATAAACCATATAATAGAGAAGATAAATTGCATCCATGAAACAAGAAAAGAATGGTCAGAGAACAATGAGAAATAATTCTTGGAAAATCAACATTTAAGATTACCAAAACAAACAAAAGATGCCAATAGGTTAGGATTGGAAGGTAGTTAAGAAAATTCTCTCAGATCATTAAACAATAATATGTTTATGAGAGAAAAGATAACAGTTGTAAGATCAGACCGATCCTACTAATGGACCAATAGAACTAATAATGAACAAAGAAAATAGAAGGAAATAAAAAATAGAAAAAAATTCCCAGATCTGAAGGGTATGATTCCAAATGGAAGGGGCTCACTGAGTACTCAGCACAGTGAATGAAGAAAGACCACATCAAATCACATCATCCTGAAATTTCATAATATCACAGATAAGACAACAAAACCTGTTATACTTCCAGTCAAAATGAAATAACAGGGACCGGATTTCCCCCTCCACCTGAAAGAACTAAAACACTGGGAAAGTATGGTTTTCAAGACATTGTACATCAGATAATAAAGTGATTCCCTAAGATGGAAAACAAGTGAGGTGAGTCTTACAGTTGATCCAGCTTTCCTTTTCTTTCCCATCATTCAGAGTACAAATTGGATAGAGGTGTTGCCTCAGTAAAGGGGCAGAATTAGCCCTAGATTAAATGCTGCCCCAGTCCTACCTAACAAAACCTTAAAAATAGTATCTAAAAGGATCAACTGTTTCTAAATTTATATTCTGTATGAGAAAACAGCTAAGGATCACCTTTCTATGTCCCCGAACAAAGCTCACCAATATTTATAGGAATAATTATTCAAAAATACCTAGTATCTTACAAAAAATTTCAATGTCTAGTATTCAATCTGTATTTTCCAGGCATGCATCCACCAATTGGAATCAATCCAGAAATGACACAGGTGACAGAATTATTATTAAAATAGTTAAATAACTATATCACATATATTGAAGAACCCAAAAATTCAGCATATTAAGAAGGAGCAATGGAAGATATAAACAAGAGCAAATCAAAATTTTAGAGTTGGGGGGCCGGCCGAGTGGCGCGATGGTTAAGAACTCGCTTGGGATGCCAGAGGGCCCCGGTTCGGATCCCACATATGAGGGCCAGTGACACTG